GATATTTTGAAACATTCAACCTCATAACTCATTTCATTATCTTTCGTTAAGGGTCGAAAATATGTTATACATTCTGGAATAAAAGTCCAAAGAGCAATTAAACGTATAACAAATATCAAAATTTATGTTCCGAGGGGTTAGAGTGTCAGCCTTAATTTTAACGACATGATAAAATTAATGTCTGGCATACTCTACATACCACTATTCAAAACAGCAAAAATATATAAATGACCCTTCCAGTGAGATCTATATATCAGTAGCAGACTCACGACATTAGAAATGTCGGGAACTAGACGGTAATTCAGACGGTTGCATTAGTGTCAATTGCAGAGTCAAGATGAGAATAGCTGTTGTAGATATTGATGGCTTCAGCGTCGAGAAAAAGTAACATCCTGAAGAAATAACTATTAGAATTGATATTCAATGTAGTAACTTTTTACTGCTGTCAAACACACCATTTTCCTGTATGAGTAAAGAATATCGCCGTACCGCTTGTTACTTGGAGTGAAACATTCACAGATTGCGGTATTTCTCTGGCTTTGTGAAATATAATCAATTGGTTGTCATCGTCATGGAAAATCTACAGGGTGTCGATGTCATTTATATGCGAGGACATCAAAAACATGACTATCTAACTGCGAAATGTCACGAGTTAGATATACCTATATGCTTTGTGAATTTAGAGAGCTATGACAATACGATAGGAATGGATCCCACATTCGACGACAACGTCGTCACATACGCAACCAAACCACCTGCAACTGCTGTCCATGAAACGAAGATATGTATAATAAATTTCCATTTAAAATTCTTCATTTCTTTTTTTACCTAACCGCACCGCCTAATGATACCCCAAATATACCCTTAACAAAAACGATAACGAATAAACGCACGTAAAACGGCCGAAATGCACGCAAAACGGTCAAAACGTACGCAAAACAATGTATTTCGAAATGTCATTGTCGAATACTTCACTCTCCCATTGCCTTCACCTTCGAACGTTAACTCCACAACACATAACTCCCCGACACCTTTGGGTGTCATTTCCTCCTTCTCCCGATGATGCTAACTTGGTTAATGAAGATACCATGTAGTGTCCTTCTGACATGTTGAAACGCACGTTAAAAGACCCTCCTAGTCGTCGTCATCTCATCACCATACAATTTTTATCGAGTCGTATTCCTAACCCTTCATGCTCGAGTTTGAAACCGGCGGCAATGCTACAATGCCCCATAAATAATGATTTATTTTACAACCGACAAACCTGCTATGTTCGCACCGACGACGTGCATCTGCATCTCTCTTTGCATCGATTACGTCACATGGCTCTCTCTCACTCTTACACACACACCTTTTTGTGAAACAATAATTCTTCCCCAAATCTAAGGATATTTGTCTATCTTCTACATGGAAATGACGTCAAAATTTCTCTGAAATTCTACGGATATCAAAAAATGCTGTTCAATATAGAAAATGAGTCAACTTCGGTCTCGACAGAACAACCACTATAAATACCAACTATTCGCAATTACTTTCAATATCCCACGATAGTGTCGAGAATAAATACAAGGTCTACCACGCCGACGACCTGGGTTCGATTTTCATTCCGATCGCTTTTTTAATTGAATTTTCCTCAGCTACCGATGACCACGTCACTGGAACGTGACAAGGGGGCCCGACGGGTGAGGTGGAGTCCCAAGGGGTGCTACGATCTTTGAATCTCTCCGATACTCATTCCATGCTTCTCTGCATCGATTACGTCACACGTATTTCTCTCCCACTCTCCAAAACACACCTACTTCGAGGTGGGTATTCCACAAGGTTCCGATCGGATATCATGAATATTGCAAACAATTTAGCTTCATAATGAAATACATGAGATTTTGAGCCAGAACCGGCCTTGTTCATCTACTTATGTTAGTTTTGTGTACATTCGCTCAGACGTAGAGTCTGAGCGAATTGGTTTCAGTTCTGAGGATGGTTCTCTGTACGGTTTTCAACAGCAATGAAAATATATCGATTTTGTTGACGATCCTCAACCTTGATTGTTTTGGGTTTCATTTGAGTTTGCAGTAGTTTGCAGGGTCCAGTAGTTTTGCAATTTCGCTGTAATATTATTTCGTTTTCAGAATCACCGTGGCATTTTCCTTGTCTGCTGGGAGAATCGTGATACTCTCATCAGCGTTCAATCGTTTTGAGGCTACAATCTCTCTTTTTGAGATACTGCATTTTGAAGGTCGTTCTTTGCTCAGAATGTTTGGTCTCACAATCCTGATTTCTTCCGCTTTCTCATCCGGTAGATTCCTGATTGCAGCTTCTGTATTAGCGATGATTTTCTCATTTGGTATCTGGAGCGACATAATCGCGAAACTACCGCTTCGTGCTGACACTGATGTTTCGTCTTCAATGAGGACCGGATCTGTTCAGTTCAGGACCACTCTGGACATGTCTGAGCGTGAGGCTGTTGAACCGCTAACCTTGTGTAGCTTTAACTCAAATAGTGGTTTTTGCTTAACCTGTCTCGTTCATTTTCCACTTTTGAATACGATATGCCATCAAGTTTGTTCCAGTCTTCAGGTTTCATTCGGTTGCCAAGAAGAAGCTGTGAACCTCAATCGAATATCCAGTCATCGAAGATTTCAACTCAGAATGTATAAACTCTTGAGGAAGCTAGCCACTTGTGCCAGCAAAATGTCAGAAATAACCCGGAAAATAGTGATACTGAAATATTATAGCTCCGTGTTAGGAATCACACGTTAAAAGGTAAGACCTCGTTAGTCCTTAGCTCGCACAAGTTTCTCAACTTCTGAGAGTTGTCGTTAGTATGGGGGCGACAGCTGATTAACGGAAAAACCGATTTTTTTCCCCAGTCTGATAACAAAGTAGTGGATGTGGCAGTTTTACCACCCGTTGGCACGGCTAGGAAGGAGACTCCTATCATGCCACCAATGAAGATAATCAGATAATAATAATGACATACATATTACGCAGTGATTTTCAGAAGCTTTTCAGTAACTTTTATTACACGTCATAAGATCCGCTATTGATAAATATAAACTACAGCAATCTAATCTTGATCGCCTTTTTTGCATCGATCTCAGAGATTTTCATGCAATGCTTGTGCATTTTCAAAAAAGAAACAAAAAAATTAAGAAATATTTGAGAACTCCAAATAACAGAGAAAATCCTTCGTACAGTTAGAATGTATATCACATTTTATAAGTGTGTATACTGAAAGAATATTGGTGAATAAAATGTTAGCAGAGCATATGAGACAAAGAAATTCAGCAGTTGCAATTACTCCGACATACAATACCAGTAAGCATGGGCATCTCCTTCATGAAGAAACCTATGGAGTCGACAAAAAATCAAACTTCACTAATCTGAAATGAACAGAGGTTCCACGATGGACTGAAAGAATCGATGGCTGATCGAGAAATCGTTTTGTGTATTTTTCTGCAGCTTTCACTGGAGCATCAAATGAGTGTAATTGAGCATCAACATCCTCTCTCGAGGAGGTTCATACTAAGTATGAACACTCCTGAAGAAGTCATCGCATAGTGAAAAACGTATTGCGGATTTACGAAATATGCAGTGGAAATCTCACAATTAAGTGTTAGTCAAATAAGTCAAAAGGAATTTCATTAAATATTGGTCAGCAAACCTAAGTTGATTGAAGGTTTTGTTGTGCGAAATTATAGGCATGAAATTTGAATTACACGTTTCTAATAAAAGTGAGAATAAAACGAGCCGAGATTTTTATTACCTATATCAGACATCCATTGAAGGTATACTTCAATGCTTGAATATATTCAGGAGGATTGCATTCGAGGTATATTATCGACGATGTTTATGAATACTGAAAAAAAAGTTTTAACGTTTTATAGAAATGATAATCACACCTCTCCATCTATATTTAATTTTTATTATTCGTGTTTTCCATGAGCACAAAAAGAAGGCCTGAAATTCATACATATTAGCTGATTTTGTTCGTTTTCATTGTAAATCAAATGCATACGAAAAATGTAATTCGAACACTCGCAAGAAACTCTAAAATGAGTTGATTTTTCAAAATTATCATATGTGTAATGAATCATAGATTATTCGAAACTGATATGATATCACGTTTTTGAGTGAAACGTGATATGTATTATATAGAGCAGACGTTTAAAAATAGTGTATTTTTCAAAACATTAAATAATAGTGGAGTCACTGTATTGAATAAACGTCTATTATTTGTAACAGAAAATAACATTTCCAACGTTTTCGAAGTATTTCAACTAAACTTCATCAACAAAATCCTATTTATTGATCATTTTTCCATCCATCATGTTACATGATGAACCAATTTTCGTGATATAACATCTATATCAAAAATTATATCATTAGATTTTCATGACATTCATTCAAAATCTTCCAATTTTCAGAACAATTTCAAATAAACCTTTCCAAATTCAAAAGGATTCTAGAAACTATGACAATGAAATGGATTCACATATCTAATTGTGAAATTTTGTAATGAAATTGCGTTTTTAATGCAATATAGCATTACGAAACCGAAATTTTAATATCAGTGATACCAGGTAATGGCAGTCATCAAATTCCCAAGAGTACCTTCACTGGAAAGATTGAAAAGTTCAGTTCTCTCAATTTGTAATCGATCAATCACAATGTCTGTATCACCAGTGTTGCCTGACTGGAAAATTGAAACTAATTTAATAATCCTTTGAAGAAATTTTCTTTCCAAAAATATGAGTTTTATCAAAACATTTTTCCATTTGAACAGAACAGGACTTGTTGAATTCATCCTGATGCATATGATAACAAATTTAAAAAAATACCATGTAACATAGTCATTACCAAAGATATGAGTGGTGAAAAAAAAATTCAAACTGAATAGATCCTCTTATGCAACTGCAAAACCTTTTCAAATTTTTCTTTCGTCAATGGTTTACAATTGAGAAACTATCAATTAGCAGTCAACATTAAAATGCCACTTTCTATGATATTTCAACAGAAACGTAGAATGTTGTGTACAAGTAAACAACTTTTACACTCACCATACATCCCAGATCCTCATCCGCATAAAGTCCAGGAAAATGTTTCTGATCTCCGCAGCTGAAGGATGTGTCAGGAAGCTCCACCCTGGAAGCGAAATTATCGTCAAAGTTCTTGTCGTACCCCACAGGGTAGTACTCTTTCGGAGCGTTCATAACCTTTCCCACGCTTTTGGCATATTTGGAGGCGGGTATGCTGGTGGTAGTTGTTGAAGTGGTAGTTCTCCTGGATAGTATCTGCTGGCGTTGTATGAGGGCTAGCTCCATGGCCTCCTCTGTTACATTATTTGCTGCCAGAAGGGTATGTATAGAGTTAGAAGAGTGTTGAAGGATCGGTACAGGAAGGTCATGATTCGGGGCAGATAGAGTTCTTACGGCAAAGTTGTTACTACTGATCTTTTCTTGTGCTTGAACCCGTTTTTTGGGAACTGCCATCACAGCCATCACCTTAGCCCCAGAGGGACTGGATGGAAGAATACCTACGGAAAAACTAGAAATAGAAGAAGGCATGGTAGAGAACGGGAATAGTAATACCCATTAAGGAATTTTCAGAAAGAGAAGAAGCGGAAGTGATTGTGGGTCTCTCGTCTGCTGGAGGAATCGGTTTAAATGGAGGCACTTTTGGAAATGATGACCTTTTGATCCCGGTTTGAACCGCCCCCGCTGCAAGTGGCGTGACGAACCGGAGGGTTGAGTCCATTTCTCCCACGCTTGGAGACGGTGACCTAACTGTAATAGAATTACCCTGAAATAGAAAACAAAAGCACAGCTGTTAGGAAAAATTTCAGATAATGGTGACGTTACTGATTTTGAAGGTATTCAAATAGATGGATCATATTTCAGCATTTCCATTAGTTAAGATTTCTTCAAGGAACAGATTAACCGTCATATATATCTGAAAATGTTGGAATTATCTACAGGGCTATTCAAATTCACGTCTCTCTATGGAGATCTCGTGAATGGTACCGAATAATTGTTGATAAAAACCACATTTTTCTGTAAATTTCTATCAGAAACATCAAAACATCAAACCTTGTTCATTCCAGTATTCAATAGTCGTATTCTGAATATAGAACGGAGGTACTTTCTCTTGAATTGAAAAATCTTGAATTTTTCCCAAATAAGAATCTCGAGATAATCAATTAGTCAAATCACAGTTGCCAATATAGCGAACTACTCGTAACGTTAATGAAATAATCAATAACACACTATGATTCTTGCTTATACCTGAAATATTTATGAGAAGCAACCCTATTTATTATTATGCAAATATTTTGATTTGAAATATAATAACAATTTGAATTGAATGAATGAACACAGTTATTACTTTCAACAGGTATTTTTGAACAAATACCCAAAGCACGCCACTGCAGGAAGTGAAATAACCCGAGGGGTCATAAAATCTTTTGTTTGTAACCCGTTTGCATAAGAAAACTAGGGTGGACCTGTTGAAGTATTATACACCGGCCTAAATGAGCTGTGGCAAATCCTAACGAAATCACAAAATTCTGTTTGACCATTTTGTTAGCGTTTGCATTTAGAATGAGAATACATCGCTTTCTACTATCAGGAAACAGAGTATGATTTGTTGTATGGTATAAGTTTTCCCAGAGATATTTTGTACACAAACATTTTGAAAGTAGTAATTGCATTTTCTAATGAATTCACTATCCAAAAAGCATTTGTTGTTGACCTCTTTCTCAAGGCATCTGAAATGAAAATAAAAATGAAAAATTGAAAATATTCTGAGAATACATTATGAATTTTCCAGGAAGGAAGCAATCAATTCCTAAAGAAGTAACTTTATACATAGATGTGTAGATCACGCAAAGAAGTAACTTTCAGACACAAACTGGAAGAAAGAGCCCTCTTGAAGCACCTACTGTCATATAACCATTGAATTACACGGAAGGAAAATAATTTCTCTCTCCCCCGATTCGACTGTCGAGGTCAAGAAACTGAAGGCAATGAATATCCCCTCGCGAGAATCAATCAAAACAATTCTTGGGCCAACCTTTGCCAAAACACCGGCAAGAATTGAATCGTCAAGCTGGAAGCTACGCACCGCTACAGGGGAGCCAGCCACTGTACTTGGAGAACTACCAAATGAATTGGTGTTGGGCAGTACTAAATTGAAACATCGTGCATTGGTGGCGGACATAAAGGACGACGCAATCATTGGAATGGACATAATGAATTCCAGAGGGTTCGAGCTGAATTTTCAAGACGGCATCCTACGTGTTGGCGGAGAAGAGCTGGTGCTTCATGGAAGAAGCGAAGAAACGATCTGGATCCTGTTGGCTGAAGACGTGTGCGTACCTGAAAGTGCTGAAACCAACCTGGAAGCTCGCTTGGACGAAAGTGCGAGCAGCGGCAAGGTGATAATGTTCGAGCCCAAAATACACGATAAGAAAATTGGACGAGAAATCGCACTGGGGAAGACCCTGTTGCGCGTTGATAAAGTTGTGCCGGTCAGGGTCATGAATGTCAACTACTTTCCCGTGACCTTGAAGAAAGGAACAATGCTGGGGCACTGTTCGTCCATTTCCTCGGTGATACAGAGTATACGCAGTTCGGTAAGCCAAGCCAACAACTTGCCTAAAGAGTTGGAGAAGTTGATTGACATTTCCTCCAAGGACATATCACCAACTCACCGATCAAAACTGAGGAAGTTAGTCAAGAAATACCAGGAAATCTTCGACATTGGATAAGAAAAAGGCGGCAGAACGAATGTGGTTCAGCATAGAATCGACACTGGGACTGCCCGACCAATCCATCAATCAGCTAGAAGACTCCCTCTTGCCAAGAGAGAAGAGGCAGACAAGATAGTCAGCGATATGGAAAAAAAAGGAGTCATCGAACCTTGTGACAGCCCCTGGTCTTCCCCAGTCGTGTTAGTAAAGAAGAAGGACGGCTCGACAAGGTTCAGCGTGGATTATCGCCAACTAAATCTCGTGACGAAGAAAGACAGCTACCCTCTTCCAAGAATCGACGACACCCTAGACACTCTAGCCGGCTCCACAATTTTCTCGACTTTAAATTTGAAGAGTGGATATTGGCAAGTTGAATTGGCCCTAGAAGATTGAGAAAAGACAGTTTTCACCATCGGCTCAGGATTGTGGCAGTTCACGGTTGTGCCATTCGGCCTTTGTAATGCTTTAGCAACCTTTGAGAGATTGATGGAGACGCTTCTCAAGGGGCTCTCATGGAAGACGTGCCCAGTGCACGAGTCAACCGGCCAAACCCTGCCAGTATTTTAATGAGCTGTGGCTTCCTTTCGACCTGAAATTTGGGACGCCGCCAGAACAAGACACTGCGGGGGAAGATTATGTCAGCAAGCTTCGGCAGAGAATGGACGACATCCATGAACGAGAACATCCGGAGTGCCAGCGATAGAATGAAGAAGGCCTATGACATCGAGGCGAATGCTGGAGAATTCGAAACCGGTGACTTAGTTCGGCTGTACAACCCTAAGCGACGCCGTGGTTTATCACCGAAGTTGCGGAACTCGTGGGAAGGTCCGTACAAAATCATAAAAAAGATTAATGACCTCGTCTACCGAATCCATAAGCCACCTCGAGGAAAGCCTAGGGTCTTCGGGAGGATGTACAATGGGTCACATGTGGCCTAAGTGCGTGGGCTTACACTCACCCTCCCTACTCTACAGATACAGATACAGAGAGCCTGAGCCTTTGGTCTATGACGATGAAACTGACAAGAAGGAAGAGGATCATCTTGAGACAAATGAAAGTTCTGATACAGAGCAAGAGTTTGAAGTTGACGACGACCTAGAAGTATGTTCAGAACCACATATTATTGGTAAAGACAAAAAAACAGAATGGAGAAAGCACAATCCTCCGAAGAATGTTAGAACAAGGGCCAAAAATATTATCAGAATGAAGCTGCCTTCTGTAAAGCCTGATCTTCGAGAACTCACGAATCCTCTAGAAATATGGAGACAGTTTTTTGATGACGAAATGATTAATTTGATAGTAGTTCATGCAAATGAATATTTACAAACGGCAGCTGATGAATATAGTCGAGCAACCTATACAAGACCTACGAACAAGTTAGAAATTGAAGCCCTTTTAGGTTTGCTGATTTTTTCTGGAGTTGCTGAAAGTAATCACACAAATGCCGAAAACCTATTTCGAACCAACGGTACCTCTCCAGACATTTATCGAATGACAATGTCTTTGCAACGTTTTCGTATACTATTGCGTTTTATTCGATTCGATGACGTTGTAACTAGGGAAGCCAGACGCAAATTAGATAAATTGGCACCGATTAGACAACTCTTCGAACAGTTCGTAACAAATTGTAAGAAAAACTTTAATTTGTCACAACAGGTCACTGTTGATGAAAAACTAGAAGCATTTCGTGATAGGTGTGGTTTTCGGCAGTATATGCCTCTGAAACCTAATAAGGACGGAATCAAGTTTTTTGCATTATGTGACGCAAAGTTATTCTACACATATAATCTGGAAGTCTATGTCGGTAACCAACCTGATGGGCCGTTTGCTCAGAGTAACAGTGCAATGTCGGTAGTTCAAAGGATGACTGAACCAATATATGGTAGTAATAGGAATGTTACAACAGACAGATGATTCACCAGTATTGAATTAGCGAAGGAACTGCTCAATAAGGGATTAACAACTATAGGAACGATCAGAGCGTTCAAAAAAATTCCCGACCTATTGCATCCAGTATGTTTGGATTCAGGCAAGACTGCACTCGTGTTTCTTATATCCCAAAAAAAAACAAGAACGTCCTTCTTATTTCTACCTGTCATGATGATGACCAGATAAATTTGCAAACAGGCAAGCCACAGATAATTATGGATTATAATGATACTGTTGATACTGTTGATCAGCTTTCATCGAATTACAACTGTGCAAGGACCACAANAACAATTCACACATTAGTCTATACAATAAAATCACCAGCGCGTATCTTATTTCTTTTCCGATCCAGCCGTTCCGAATATTTCTAATTTCAAAACTAAAACTACTCAACTAAGTATCAAACCGAGAGCGGTGTTGCCGAAACTTAAATTAATTTTCCTTAAATATATACATGCCTAAACACATATCGATAATTATATTAGTTTCAGTACTATTTTGCTTATTATATTTCGTATAGGGAAATTTGTTCAGTAAGGGAAATGTCATATTGTATACAGTGAGTACGGTACTGTGTATACTATCGATGGTATGGGTGTCTGTACTTGATGTTTTGTATTCCTCTATTGAACGCAAAAATGAAGACAGTTAATGATTGATCAATGGCGTTTCAACAAACATCACACAATACTTTTTTTCCAAAAATTATACCTACTCTTGTAAATATACCCCTTTCAATTTAAACAAAATTCCAATGACTGGAATTAAATTGAATAAACGTGTGAATACCACTGCGTTTTATCATCGTGGCATGAGTAGATTCAATTCATCGGTGGCATTAAGTCGTAATGTTATGAATGAATTGAGTTCTTCATCTTATACTCGTAATGTTATCCAGATTGGTGTTGAAGAGGCAATAAGACAAGTGTCTTGTTCTGAAACATTGCCCCTTATTGATGATGACAGTGTACCATGTAAGACTAATCTCTTTCACATACTGTATTGTGTAGCATTTCATATAATGGTATCTGATTCAACTCCATAGTTTTTGAAGTTCAAACTGAATTTAGAAAATTGTGTTTTTTTCATCATTCAATGTTCATATAAAAGTAGTTGT